TGTCATTTTCTCAATGCTCCCTTCGCTCTCGTTCCTGACACTAGATGGCGCTAGTGTATCGTTGACTGGAGCGCGTAACATTATTGTTGATTTCTTAAATTTACGCGAAAACTACACATTGAATAAAACTATTATTCACGGATTTTTTACTACCATATGTTAGAGGAGTCACAGACAAGATTGGCTACATCTTGAAGCGAGCGTCCATTAAGACATACTACAAGCCGCTGAAGAAGATTAGTCAATTTTTACCATCCATCAAATGTAATATTCCTCTACAAGATGCAGGTGTGTACAAGCTAGATTGTGAATGTGGTCTCTCTTACATAGGGCAAACAAAGAGATCTATAAAAACCCGCGTGAAGGAACATATAGCTGATGTGAAGCACCGACGCTCCGGGAAGTCTGCAGTCTGCGAACATGTTCAAGATCGTCCCCACCATTACATTAGATTTGATAAACCACAAATTCTCGCAAAAGAACTCCGATTCCTACCAAGGATGATACGCGAGGCAAGACTTCATGATACTATAAGCTCGTTTTGCGTAAATCGGACCAATTATTAATATTAAAAAACTGAAGGTAGCCGGACTAACTATGACATTGGGACCCCCTCCGTGACCACCGTAAAGCACCCGAAACGTCGGGATAATAATAAAAATAAATTAAAGTAATTAAACGCGATAAAATCCGTAAATAATAGTTTTATTCAATTATTATTGTTATTATTAAAAGGAATATCAATATATTCCAATACAGAACATTTCCATTCTAATGTAAAACAAATTACACTGGAATTTTTTTATTTTGTCTGTCAAACCCACAGTTGTCAGTAATAAATTGCTTTAAACGTAAAATTATCATCAATGTCATCGTTATCATCAATGTCATCATCGTCATAAACATCATCATCGTCATCATTATCGTGTTTTCATTATCATTGTCATCGTCATCATCATCATTATCATCATCATCGTCATCGTCAACATCATCATCATCGTCGTCGTCATCTTCATAATCATCTTCATCATCATCATCATCGTCAAAATCATAGTCTTCGTCATCATCATCAACATCATCATCAAAATAATCATCATCATCATCATAATCGTATCACTTATATACTTGCTCTTATACATACTTGCTGATATACTTACTTTTATAATTGCTTATATACTGACTTATATACTTAATTATATACTCGCTTATATTTTAGCTAATATACATGCTTATTAACTGACATACTTACTAATATACTTACTTATATACTTGTTCTTATACTGCCTTATATACTTTCTTTTATTATTGCTTATGTACTTACTTATATACTTGCTGATATAGTTGCTTATATACTTACTGATATACTTGCTTATTTACTCACTTATATAATTTCTTATATAATGACCTACATACTCACTTGTAAACTTGCTTATTTACTTATTTATATACTTGCTCTTACACTTGTCTAAATACTTGCTTATATACTCACTTTTATAATTGCTTATATACTGACTTATATACTTAATTATATACTTGCTTATATTCTAGCTTATATACATGCTTATTAACTTGTTAATATACTCACTTATATACTAGCTGATACACTTGCTGATATACTTGCTTATATACTTGCTTATATACTCACTTATATAATTGCTTATATAATTACTTTTATAGTTACCTATATACTTGCTTATTTACTGGCTTATAACACTTGCTGATATACTTACTTATATACTTGCTTATATACTTGCTTGTATACTTACCTATATACTTACTTTAATACTTGCTTATATACTTGCGATATACTTGCTTATATACCAGCTTATATACTTACTCAAATACTTTCCTATATACTTGCTTTTATACTTGCTTATATTTGCTTATTCATCATCATCATAATCATTACAGCCCTTTACAAGTCCACTGCTGAACATAGGCCTCCCCCAAGGTACGCCACAAAGCACGGTCCTGAGAGGCTGCCACTCGAGAACCTTTTTTCCCCAACGGTTGTCGGTTCTTCGAGCTACATGGCCCGCCCATTGCCACTTCAGCTTACTAATCCGTTGGACTATGTCGGTCACTCCGGTTCTACTGCGGATATCCTCATATCTAAGTTTATCACGCAGAGAAACTCCGAGCATAGCCCTCTCCATAGCTCGCTGAGCGACTTTGAGCGTCCTCATACTGCCAGCAGTGAAGGACCACGTCTCAGTTCCATATGTCATCACTGGCAACACGCACTGGTTATCAGGTTAGTTATCAGGTTTTGAGATATACCTGACGAGAAGATGCGTTGTAATTTCCAGAACGCTGCCCAGCCGAGTAGAATCCGTCGATTGACCTCTCGGTCGAAGTTGGACTTACCTAGCCGGACTATTTGTCCCAGGTAAACGTACTCGTCAACAACTTCGAGCTTAGTGCTCCCAACAACTACCGCTATAGGTGTGACATGGACATTAAACATGATCACTAGTGGCACTATTGATATATGAGGCACTATTGAGGTCATTGAGCATAGTGCTTAAGTCCTCCAGCGATTCTGCCATAAGGACTATATCGTCGGCAAATCGAAGGTGAGTGATGTACTCGCCATTGATGTTAATACCGTATCCTTTCCAGTCCAGTAGCTTGAAAACGTCTTCCAGTGCAGCGGTGAAGAGTTTCGGGGAAATAACGTCACCCTGTCTTACACCTCTCTGCAGTTGGATAGGTTTCTTCTATGGTTCTGTACTCGGACAGCCATCGTAGCCCTACTGTACAAACACTTCAGCACTTCGATATACCGACAGTCAACTTGGCACCGCTGAAGAGACTGTAGCTCCGCCCAAATTTCGACGGAATCAAAGGCTTTCTCATAGTCCACATACGCCATGAAAAGTGGCAGATTGTACTCTTCGGACTTCTGTACAATTTGCCGAAGGGTATGTATGTGGTCTATGGTACTAAAGCCTTTTCGGAAACCGGCTTGTTAGGGAGGCTGGAAATCGTCGAGTCTGCGTGCGAGACGATTCGTAATGACTCTCGAAAACAGCACGTAGACGCGGCTCAGAAGGAATATCGGTCTCTAGTTCTTCAGGAGAGCGTTGTCACCTTTCTTGAAGAACAAGACCACCGCACTTCTGCTCCACGCCTACGGAGTAGTGCCACCAATGAGGACGGAATTGAAGAGCCTCTGTAGGACTTCAAGTCCGGTGTTCCACCCGCTTTCGTAAGCTCCGCTGTAATTCCATCCTCGCCTGGGGCCCTGCCGTTTTTAAGGTGCTGGAGAGCCATTCTAATCTCGCTCAGACTGACGTCCAGGATATCATCGGAATAGTGTCGGATAAGACCCGCTCTTGGATCGTTACACACTTGCGTGTGGCTCCAACGATGATGTATACAGAACCCATAGAACCTCTCAATCTCACTCAGAATCTCAGGTGTCCCGAAAACGATGCTGCCACACTCAGTCTTCAGCTTTGACAGTTGGCTCTTACTGGCAGACAGATCTCTGGCAAAGACTTTGGAGCCCTGGTTCCGCTCAATCGCTTCTTCAATACGAGCAGTATTAAATTTGCGTAAGTCTCGCCGCATGCATTTGGAGATCTGTCTGTTCAGTTGCCTGTATGCTGTCAAATCTATTGACGATTGCAGCCTCATCTCCCGTCTAACAGCCATGAGATTAAGAGTGTGATCGGAGAGCTTTTGTGTTCTTTTGCGGTCGGTGTTGCAGAACTTAGCTCCGACCGCATGGACAGTTTCCACGAGCTTGTCATTCATATCGTCCAGTGCATTGCAATCTTCTAGGCACTGAAAGCGGTTACGTAACTCGAGCTGAAAGGTTTCGGGATTCTGGATTAGAGCACGAGGGGGACGGAGCGTTGACTTCATTAGACGAGACCTCTCCAACTTAACTTGTGCCAACATTCGGTACATTACTGAACAGTTGGCGTCTGGTCGTCATAATGAAGTCAATCTCATTTTTTGTCGAACCGTCGTGGCTCGACCAGGTCCACTTCCTGTGGAGCCGCTTCTGGAAGAAAGAGTTCATCATAAAGTGTCCCTCTTTCTCCATGAAATCGGCCAGCTGCTGGCCCCTACGGTTCCGTTGCCCTACTCCAAATTTCCCTAACTTCAGCTCACCGCTTTCTCTTGTGCCTAGTTTTGCGTTGAAGTCTCCCATCAACGCCGTGTAGTGGGTTTTGGAGGAATGCATGGCTCTGGAAATATCCTCATACATTTCCTCCACCTCCTCATCGGGATGTGCCGAAGTTGGTGCGTAAACCTCTATGACCTTCAGAGAATACCGTTTCATGATTCTGAGTATCAGGTACGCGACCCTCGTCGACACACTCCCAATCTTTACAACGTTGTTGACGAGAGACTTGTGGACGATAAATCCGACACCTCCTTGGGACAGATGGTCGCCTTCCCGGTGATAGAACAAGTTGCCGGACTCGACGATTACCGTGTCCTCCCCCCTCTTCGGACCTCGGATAATCCAATAATATGCCAGCGCAACTTGTCTATCTCTTCTTCCAACTCCAGTATCTTCTCGTCAGTCCTCAGGGTGCGTGCGTTATATGTTGCCAGGTCGAGTCGTCGTAGGTGGCGACCGAACCTCCACCGAAGATTCTTAGCACCCCCTGCCCCGCCGTTACCATGATCGCCACCGTAGCCAGGAATAGCGGGGCCACCGGGGACTGGGAGACGTTTATTTGCGTCGTTACTCATGGGGGGATATTTGCCATAGTTGGCACGCTTGGCGAGCGGGTTGGCAACCCCAGTTTTTTATTATATGATTGCTGTTATCAGGAAGATGCTGCTGCCCATCTAATGCCTGTCTCCCTCTGTCGACTCTTACGACACCCACGGGAAGATATGGGGTAGTGGATATTCTCAACCGCCACTACACGGCATACTTGCTTATTGCTTATATACTTACCATATAGTCTTCGTCATCATTGTCATCATCATCATGGTCATTAATATCATCATCATCATGATGAAGTCAATTGTCAAAATGACAATTCGTCATCGTCATCAACATCGTCATCGTCATCGTCATCATCAATGTCATCATCACCGTCATATTCATAATTACCATCTTCGTCTTCGTCATCATCATCATCATAATCTTCTTCATCGTCATCATCATCATCATCGTCATCATTATCGACGTCGTTACCATCATCGTCATCGTCATCGTCATCAACATCTACATCGTCATCGTCATTGTCATCATCATCGTCATTATCATTGTTATCATCATTGACAATGTCTGGAATGATCTTGACATGAGACGAATCATCAGCATCGTCATCATCATCATCATCGTCATCATCATCGTCACCGTCATCGTCACTGTTATCGTCAGTCATCGATATCGTTTACATCATCGTCATCGTCACCGTCATTGTCATCTTCTTCCTCGTGATCATCGTCACCATGATCGTCAACGTCACCGTCGTCGTCATGATCATCGTCATCGTCATCGTAATCGTTATCTTCGTCGTCATCTTCATCATCATCTTCATCATCATCATCATCAACATCATCGTCTTCGTCGTCATCATCAACATCGTCATCATCATCATAATCGTCTTCATCGTCATCGTCATTGTCATCGTCATCGTCATCATCATCATCATCTCATCTTCAACGTCATCGTCATCGTCATGATCATCATCATCTTTATAGTCATCATCGTCGTAATCGTCATCATCATTGTCATCATCATTGTAATCGTCATCATCATCATCATCGTTGTCATCATCGTCATCGTTGTCATCATCGTCATCGTCACCGTCAACGTCATCATCATCGTCATCATCATCTACATCGTCATCGTCATTGTCATCATCATCGTCATAAACATCATCATCGTCATCATTATCGTAATTGTCATCATCATCGTCATTGTCAACATCGTCATCATCGTCGTCATCTTCATAATCATCTTCATCATCATCGTCATCATCGTCTTCGTCATCATTATCAACATCATCATCATCATCATAATCATCATCATCATCATAATTGTATCACTTATATACTTGCTCTTATACTAGCCTATATACTTATTTTATAATTGCTTATATACTGACTTATACTTAATTTTGTATTGGCTTATATTTTGGCTTATATACATGCTTATTAACTGACATACTTGCTAATATACTTACTTCTATACTTGTTCTTGTACTTCCTTATATACTTGCCGATATACTTGCCTACATACTCACTTATATATTTGCTTATATAATGACCTACATACTTACTTGTAAACTTGCTTATTTATTATTGTCTATATACTTGCTTATATACTTACTTTTATAATTGCTTATATACTGAATTATATACTTAATTGTATATTTGCCTATATTCTAGCTTATATACCTATTCTAGCTTATTAACTTGCTTATATACTTACTTATATACTTGCTGATATACTTACTTATATACTTGCTGATATACTTGATTATATGCTTACTTATATACGTAATTATATACTTTTTATATATTGTTTATATACTTGCTTATATACTTGCTTATATACTTATTTATATACTTGTTGATATACTTGCTTAAATACTTGCTTATTGCTTGTTGATTCTATAATTACCATATAGTCTTCATCATCATTGTCATCATCATCATGGTCATCATCATCACCATCATCCTCGTCATCGTCGTCGTTACCATCATCGTCTTCATCGTCATCATCATGATGAAGTCAATTGTCAAAATTACAAGTCATCATCATCATCAATGTCATCATCATAGTAATTGTCATCATTACCATCATCGTATTCGTCATCATCATCACTATCATCGTTGTCATCACCGTCATCATCATCGTCATCATCATCGACATTGTCATTGTCATCGTTATTATCATCGTTATCGTCATTGTCATCTTCATCGTCATCATCATCGTCATCGTCATCTTCATCATCATCGTCATCATCATCATTAACATCGTCACTGTAATCGTCGTCCTCAACGTCTTCATCATCGTCATCATCATGATCAACGTCATCATCATCGTCATCGTCATAATCACCGTCATCTTCATCGTCATCGTCAGTCATCGTCATCGTTACCATCATATTCATCGTCACCGTCAACGTCATAATCATTGTCATGATCATCGTCATCATTATCACTATTATCATAATTATCATCGTCATCACCGTCATAATCGTCAACGTCATCGTCATCGTCATTGTCATCGTCATCGTCATTGTAATCATCATCGTCATCGTCATCATCAATGTCATCATCATAGTAATTTTCATCATTACCATTATCGTATTCGTCATCATCATCATGCCGTGTAGTGGCGGTTGAGAATATTCACTACCCCATATCTTCCCGTGGGTGTCGTAAGAGGCAACAGAGGGAGACAGGCAGGAGATGGGCAGCAGCATCTTCCTGATAACAACTGTGTCATAATAAAAAACTGCGGTTGCCAACCCGCTCGCCAAGCGTGGCAACTATGGCAAATATCCCCCCATGAATGACGACGCAAAAAAACGGCCCCCAGTCCCGGGCGGCCCCGCTATTCCTGGCTACGGTGGCGACCATAGTAACGGCGGGGCACGGGGTGCTAAGAATCTCCGGTGGAGATTCGGTTGCCACCTACGACGACTCGACCTGGAAACATATAACGCACGCACTCTGAGGACTGACGAAAAGATACTGGAGCTGGAAGAAGAGGTAGACAAGTTGCGCTGGCATATTATTGGATTATCCGAGGTCCGAAGAGAGGGGGAGGATACGGCAATCCTCGAGTCCGGCAACTTGTTCTACCACCAGGAGGACGACCATCTGTCCCAAGGAGGTGTCGGATTTATCGTCCACAAGTCTCTCGTCAATAACGTTGTAAAGATTGGGAGTGTATCGACGAGGGTCGCGTACCTGATACTCAGAATCACCAAACGGTATTCGCTGAAGGTCATACAGGTTTACGCACCAGCCTCGGCACATCCCGATGAGGAGGTGGAGGAAATGTATGAGGATATTTCCAGAGCCATGCATTCCTCCAAAACCCACTACACGGTGTTGATGGGAGACTTCAACGCAAAACTAGGCACAAGAAAAAGCGGTGAGCTGAAGGTGGGGAAATTTGGAGTAGGGCAACGGAACCGAAGGGGCCAGCAGCTGGCCGACTTTATGGAGAAAGAGGGACTCTTTATGATGAACTTTTTCTTCCAGAAGCGGCCCCACAGGAAGTGGACCTGGTCGAGCCCCGACGGTTCGACAAAAAATGAGATTGACTTCATTATGACGACCAGACTGTTCAGTGATGTCTCAGTGATCGCAAGGGTGAAAACTGGCAGCGATCACCGAATGGTTAGAGGCACACTGAACCTAAATGTTAAGTTGGAGAGGTCTCGTCTAATGAAGTCAACGCTCCGTCCCCCTCGTGCTCTAATCCAGAATCCCGAAACCTTTCAGCTCGAGTTACAAAACCGCTTTCAGTGCCTAGAGGATTGCAATGCAGTGGACGATATGAATGACAAGCTCGTGGAAACTGTCCATGCGGTCGGAGCTAAGTTCTGCAAGACCCGCCTTAGAAGAACACAAAAACTGTCCGATCACACTCTTTATCTCATGGCTGTTAGACGGGAGATGAGGCTGCAATCGTCAACAGATTTGACAGCATACAGGCAACTGAACAGACAGATCTCCAAATGCATGCGGCGAGACTTACGCAACTTTAATACTGCTCGTATTAAAGAAGCAAAAACGAACCAGGGCTCCAAAGTCTTTGCCAGAGATCTGTCTGCCAGAAAGAGCCAACTGTCAAGGCTGAAGTCTGAGTGTGGCAACATCGTTTTCGGGACACCTGAGATTCTGAGTGAGATTGAGAGGTTCTATGGGTTCTGTATACATCATCGTTGGAGCCACACGCAAGTGTGTAACGATCCAAGAGCGGGTCTTATCCGACACTATTCCGATGATATCCCGGACGTCAGTCTGAGCGAGATTAGAATGGCTCTCCACCACCTTAAAAACGGCAAGGCCCCGGGCGAGGATGAAATTACAGCGGAGCTTCCGAAAGCGGGTGGAACACCGGTACTTGAAATCCTTCAGAAGCTCTTCAATTCCGTCCTCCATGGTGGTACTACTCCGGAGGCGTGGAGCAGAAGCGCGGTGGTCATGTTCTTTAAGAAAGGCGACAACGTTCTCTTGAAGAACTACAGACCGATTTCCCTTCTGAGCCGCGTCTACGTGCTGTTTTCGAGAGTCATTACGAATCGTCTCGCACGCAGACTCGACGACTTCCAGCCTCCCGAACAAGCCGGTTTGCGAAAAGGCTTCAGTACCATAGACCACATACATACCCTTCGGCAAATTGTACAGAAGTCCGAAGAGTACAATCTGCCACTTTGCCTGGCGTATGTGGACTATGAGAAAGCCTTTGATTCCGTCGAAATTTGGGCGGTGCTACAGTCTCTTCAGCGGTGCCTAGTTGACTGTCGGTATATTGAAGTGCTGAAGTGTTTGTACAGTAGGGCTACGATGGCTATCCGAGTACAGAACCAGAGTACGAAACCTATCCAACTGCAGAGAGGTGTAAGACAGGGTGATGTTATATCCCCGGAACTCTTCACCGCTGCGTTGAAAGACGTTTTCAAGCTATTGGACTGGAAAGGACACGGTATTAACATCAATGGCGAGTACATCACTCACCTTCGATTTGCCGACGATATAGTCCTTATGGCAGAATCGCTGAAGGACCTTAGCACTATGCTCAATGACCTCAATGTGTCTCTCAACGGATAGGTCTTAAGATGAACATGGACAAAACAAAGATCATGTTTAATGTCCATGTCACACCTATGCCGGTAATTGTTGGGAGCACTATGCTCGAAGTTGTTGACGAGTACGTTTACCTGGGACAAATAGTCCGACTAGGTAAGTCCACTCACGAGAGGTCATCGACGGATTCACTCGGCTGGGCAGCGTTCGGGAAATTACGACACATCTTCTCGTCAGGTATACCTCAATCTCTGAAAACTAAACTGTATAACCAGTGCGTGTTGCCAGTGATGACTTACGTATCTGAGACGTGGTCCTTCACCGCTGGCCGTATGAAGACCCTCAAGGTCGCTCAGCGAGCTATGAAGAGGGCTATGCTCGGAGTTTCACTGCGTGATAGACTCAGAAATGAGAATATCCGCAGTAAAACTAGAGTGACCGACATAGCCCAACGGATTAGTAAGCTGAAGTGGCAATGGGCCGGCCATATAGCTCGAAGAACCGATAACCGATGGGGAAGAAAGGTTCTCGAGTGGCAGCCTCGTACCGGTAGGCGTAGTGTAGGGCGACCCCCCACTAGATGTAGTGACGACCTGGTAAGACATGCAGGAAGTCGATGGATGCAGGTGGCTCAGGACCGTGCTTTGTGGCATTACTTGCGGGGAGGCCTATGTTCAGCAGTGGACTTGTGAAGGGCTGTAATGACGATGATGATGATAATGATTCGTAATCATCATCATTATCATCATTGTAGTCACCGTCAACATCATTATCATCATCATCGTCATCATCTTCGTCATCGTCATCGTCATCGTCATCATCAATGTCATCATCATCGTCATCATCATAATCATTAACATCGTCATGGTAATCGTCGTCCTCAACGTCATCATCATTATCATCGTTATCATCATCGTGATCGTCATCATCACTGTCATCATCATCGTCATCATCATCACCATCATCGCTATCATCGTCGTCATCGTCATCATTATCATCATCTTCATCGTTATCAATGTCATCATCATCGTCATCTTCATAATAACCATCATCGTCTTCGTCATCATCATCATCATCATCTTCGTCATCATCATCATCATCTTCTTCATCATCATAATCCTCATCATTAACATCGTCATCAACCTCGTCATCGTCATCATCATCATCGTCATCAGCATCGTCATTGTTACTATCACCGTCATCGTCACCGGCATCGTCATCATCATCGTCATCATCATCTTCATCATCTTCTCCATCGTCATCGTCATCATCAATGTCATCATCATCGCCATTATCATCATCATTAACATCGTCATTGTAATCGTCGTCCTCAACGTCATCATCATCGTCATCATCATTATCATCGTCATCATCATTATCATCGTTATCATCATCGTGATCGCCATCATCTCTGTCATCATCATCGTCATCATCATCATCATCATCATCATCATCATCATCACTATCATCGTCATCATCATCATCTTCTTCATCATCTTCATCCTCATCAATGTCATCATCATCGTCATCTTCATAATAACCATCATCGTCTTCGTCATCATCATCATCATCATCTTCATCATCAATCCTCATCATTATCATAATCGTCATCATCGTCATCAACCTCGTCATCGTCATCATCATCATCGTCATTAGCATCGTCATCGTTATCATCACCGTCATCGTCACCGGCATCGTCATCATCATCGTCATCATCATCGTCACCATCATAATCACCGTTATCGTCATCGTCATCGTCAGTCATCGTCATCGTTACCATCATCTTTATCGTCACCGTCAACGTCATAATCATTGTCATCATCATCGTCATTATCACTATCATCATCATTATCATCGTCATCACCGTCATCATCGTCAACGTCATCGTCATCGTCATTGTCATTGTCATCGTCGTTGTAATCATCATCGTCATCGTCATCGTCATCGTCAATGTCATCATTATAGTAATTTTCATCATTACCATTATCGTATTCGTCATCATCATCATTATCATCGTCGTCGTCACCGTCATCATCAATGTCATCATCATCGTCATCATCATCATCATTAACATCGTCATTGTAATCGTCGTCCTCAACGTCATCATCATGGTCATCATCATTATCATCGCCATCATCATTATCATCGTCATCGTCATCATCATTGTCATCATCATCGTCATCATCATCATCATCACTATCATCTTCGTCATCGTCATCATCTTCTTCTTCATCGTCATCAATGTCATCATCATCGTCATCTTCATAATAACCATCATCGTCTTCGTCATCATCATCAGCATCATCTTCATCATCATAATCCTCATCATTATCATCGTCATCAACCTCGTCATCGTCAACGCATCGTCATCGTCATTGTCATCGTCATCGTCATCATCTATATATATATATATATATATATATATATATATATATATATATATATATATATATATATATATAGGGTATGGGTGTACGATGTTCACGGGAAAGACGTATTGCTACAACAAACCCGCTTACCACCGGCACTAAGATGATATGTCTAGGACACATCAGTTAGCGAATCCAAGTTTACCTCGGACCAATTGCTCGTGAAGTAGCATACACGCCACCATAATAATGCTTTTCAAGTCCCTAATAAGGACTAGTCATTTTGCAACAGTACTAAGAGCAGTCGGTCACCCGACCACCCCATATAATGCTTATGCATCAAGGAGACCTTCTATAATAATGCTTTTATAGACCTTACTTTCATAAGTCATAAGTAATATATAGGACTTCAACCCACGATTCTACTATTGTAATGCTAATTTATCATAGAGACCTTCTATAGTATTGCTTTTGTATCATAGACCTTACTTCCATAAGTCATTAATATATAGGACTTGAACCCACAACCCTACTATTGTAATGCAAATTCGTCATAGAGACCTTCTATAGTATTGCTTTTGTATCAAAGACCTTACTTTCATAAGTCATTAATACGAGGGTGGATTGAAAAGTACTCGGCCTAACACAGATCCATTCAATTCTAAAAATCAAATCTACCCACATTATTTAGTTCAGTTCAGACTAGTTCATTGTGTGAAGTTCGAAACGTGTGCGATAATTAGTTGTGATTTTATAAATTTATTAACAAAGTAATCGGACATAATTTCCGCGAATGGAGCAAATCGAGCAGCGTGCCGTCATTAAGTACCTCCATAAGAAGGGGCTATCATCAAAAGCCATCCATTATGACATGGTCAGTACATTAGGCGATTGTGCTCTGTCATATTCATCCGTCAAAAAATGGATAGCAGAATTTAAGCGTGGTAGAGAGAGTGTGAAAGATGAACCCCGCTCTGGAAGGCCTTCGACGTCAACTACTGACGAAAATATTAAAAAAAGTACTTGATTTAATAATGGGAGACCGCAGATTAAAAATTAGAGAGATAGCCGAGATTATAGGCATCTCTTATTAACGAACTCAAAACATCATTGTCAACGAGTTGGGTTTCCACAAGGTTTCTTCGAGGTGGGTTCCGCGACTGCTTTCAGTTGAACAAAAAAGGACGCGATTGACTATTTCACGCGACTGTATGGAGTTATTTGAAGCCGATGCAGATGATTTTTTGAATTGTTTTGTTACTATGGACGAAACATGGCTTCATTACTGTACACCGGAAACAAAACAACAATCAAAACAGTGGAGAAGACCTGGTTCACCACCCCTAAAATGGCTAAGTCGATTTTGTCGGCAAATAAGGTGATGGCTTCAGTATTCTGGGACTCTAAAGGTGTGATTATGATTGATTATCTTGAAAGGGGTCAGACTATAAACTCTGATTACTACTGCACCTTACTACGTCGTTTACGAGAGGAAATAAAAGAAAAACGTCGAGGAATGCTCAGAAGAAAAGTCCTGTTTCATCAAGATAACGCCCGTGTTCACACGTCAGTACAGTCAATGGCTGAAATTCACAACTGTGGCTTTGAACTGTTACCGCATCCGTCGTATTCACCTGATCTGGCACCATCAGACTTCTTTCTGTTCCCTAACCTAAAAAAGCACTTGGGAGGTCAAAGATTTTCGACAAACGACGAGGTCAAAGCAGCTGTAGACGCATATTTTGACTCTAAGGAAGAATCATTTTTTTTTTCAACGGTCTAAATGCTTGGAAGGGGAGGTGGCAAAAGTGTATTGAACTTGATGGTGATTATGTAGAAAAATAAAAATATAACTGATTTAGTAAGTGTTTATTTTCTTGGTTAGGCCGAGTACTTTTCAATCCACCCTCGTATATAGGACTTCAACCCACGACCCAACTATTATAATGCAAATTCATCATAGAGACCTTCTATAGTTCATCATTTATCTTTTGTATCATTGAGTTTATTATCATATGTCCCTAATATAGGACTAGTCATTGTGCTACAGTACTTCAAGCAGTCAGGCTCCCGACCCCATATATATGTACAACTGCAGATATGTATCTCCGGCAGCTCCTCCATACAAGACATCTATTCATGAACACCTTCCACAACTTAGGAAAATTTTCTTTTATACATGAACTCCTTCCAATACTTAGACATCTTATAAATGTTATTTATCTTTATTTTTATAATATTTTCGACTTGTATTTCTATTATTTATCATATTTTTAATATTTTTAATAAGTTTTTAAATAAATTTATTTATTCTGAAAGACAATATTTTGCCTTAAATTTACTATAATATTTGTCTAATGTCTGAAATGTATTTATCTTACTTATTTTATGCTTACTAATGTAATTTTATTGTTTAATACATATATTTTAAGACTATTTTTGAAGCCCCTTTATATTGAATTTAATTATTAATAATAATATTGTGCCGTCACAATACGCATATCGCATATTGTCTTAAGTAAAATTATTCACATCTCGCAAAGTTAAACGACATTGATTAAAATGTTATACGTTGTTTTCGTAGAAATCCTACGTAAAGTTTATAACTAGGAGTCCATCTGGGCAGGTACTATCCTATTCCCGTCGCTAAATAGTAGCGTGCGCACTGCTGTCTTCAGGTATGAAAGGTACAGAGAGCCAGTATTATTACAGATTGTGAAAAATTCTTTCGTACTTCTCTGAGGTGAAAATGCATCGGAAACCTTCGTTATTTCCATTTGGTTAAAGGTGTTAATTGGCTGTAGTAACCACTTACCATCAGGTGGACTGTAACATTTCTTATATTTACGCGAATACTACACATTTGAAAGCTTCACATTTTTACATTTTTTCAAGTTGAACCCTAAATAAGTTATGTTTCTTCAATGGCAATCTTTTCAATAACCATCCGCTCTTTTTTATTTATCAAAGATTTTGCGTCCTGATTCTGAAGGAATTTTTCAACCCTGCAACTTCTTTCTTTAAAAAATAATTATTAGCATTTTTTTTGTTATAAGTGCAATGGCGGGTATTGAATTATAATGAAAAATAATAATTTCAGGATGTTTTCTGAGCCAAAAAAACAAATATAGCTTATTTAGTTTCGTTTTCATTGTTAATTATGCTGTTATCATCTTTTCGTGCAGCTAGCTCAATCTCAGTAATAAAATTGTAGGAACTACTATTTGATATATATGTAAGTATTTATATTAATCAGACATTTATTATCTACATTAAGCTATTAAAAGGAAACTCACATGTGAAGGATTTGATGTTATACATGCAGATGTAAACGAATCAGGAATAGTAAGAATAGCACTAATTGTATAGTAAGACGATAGTAAGTCATCTGGTATAGTAAATAATTATTTATTTATTTCAATCAACAAAGATTATAGGGTAAAATTACATTCATTCAATTCTATTCTTATACTAAAATTATAAATAATTACTAATATTAATTATATCAAATGCGTAAGTATTTATAATAATATCGTAAAATAATATAATAATTTAATAATAATAAAATTACATGATCCGATGTCACCGTTACACACACCATAACTGATTTAATTATACAACATGTGACAAAAACCCTGTGGGTCCCATTAACTGCGTTATCAAAATCAGTATCCAAGCATATACAAATCATTTTTTTGCAGAAAAAAACATTTAAGAAATTAATTTTATTAAAAAGAAATTCATTTGCAAATTGTATCTGGTTTTATTATCTCTGCATTGGCCAAGGAGTAGGAGGATTGTCAAAGATCTCGTAGTACCGATACTCGTGTGAGTTAGAGGAAATAAAACAACATACAATTTGCAAATTAGTTTTTTTTTCATCAAAATTAATTTTTAATGTGTTTTTTTGAAGAAAAAAAAGATTTCTATATGCTTGAATACTGATTCTGATAACACACTTAACGGCAAACACAGGGTTTTTGTTACATATTGTTACGCGCTCAAGTCGACGATACACTAGCGCCATCTAGTGTCAGGAACGAGAGCGAGGGGAGCTTTGCAGAAAATGACATCACAAATCTTTACCGACAGCGCCATCCGAAGAACTAAGTTTCTAGAAAATCTACACTCGAACACTCGTCGTTTGCGCGCATTTACTTGAATATTCCGGATGCTTCATTGCTAATTTGTATATATAGGCGCTGCAAGATGCGATCGGGGCAGTGTTGATTTGGCGAGACAAGCGAAGCTTCGGAGCGGAATAAAGTGAATTAGTGTGTTTAATTATTAGTGTTTTAAGTTTTAATTTGTGTAAAGTAAATTAAAGTATTAATTTAGGTAATTTTATCGGCAATTTTATTGTCACGAACCTCAAGCTCGTAACAATATTGTACATTAACAAAACCACCAACAAGACTTACCATAATGATATAATATAATTAATTTATTAAAATCACAGGAAAAATCTTAAATATATGTAAGTAAAAGTAGGTAATAAATTAAATAACATTAGTTCATATACCTGGGGTGCCTGTCCGAGGCAATGGGTACATGGACATGAATCCAGTGCCTCAAAAAAGCACACTCGCATTTCTCACTAATTACGTTAAGAATGCTGTTGGCGCTCTCACAAACCCTGTGCATTAGTGACGCAGTTCTTTTGTGAATAAGTGTAGAAAAATAATGAATTTAATTAAATAACTATATAAATGTTATATTATTTAATTTGTTAGTGGAGGAAAAATGTCATTACTTTTTGTATTTTACGTTAGATGGCACTGTTTTGAAAAAGTGAATACAACAATAATGTCGTTGATTGTCAGCGTAGTTCAATTTATTACACAACGGTTAAAACTAATTTTGAGCTTTATTTAGAAATATTTTGTTTATTTTAATAAAACATATATCGTGTAAAATAGAAATAAACATCTAAAGGAAGGAAAATACTTAACCCTCCTTTTTTGAAGTTCTGTAATCGGATAAAAATAGCCTATAAGTAGCCCCGGATCATTAAATACCTACACTCAAAATTTCATTAAAAACTGTTCAGTAGTTTTGCGTGAATCTTTAATACACAGACAGACAGATAAAAATTCTAAAAACCACCAATTTGGCTTCAGTACCCTGTGTTTGTATTTAGTCCCCTGGGCTTGTTTTTACTCCAGAAAATATTAGAATTACAGACACGACCTTTCTAAAGATTTATTATATGTATAGATAAGGTAAGGTAAGGTGTAATAAAATGATTCACGATCCCCTGCTTTTGATTCGAATAATTGTACAGAATCCCCAAACAGATTCACAGTTATAAGCTTAGGTTTTTGTGTCACTGACATTGTCACTGTCATCACTAGTTACATTTCATTTTGTCGGTGTGAATACGGTGACAACGCTGGTGAGCGTTTACTGCAGCTGCAGCTACAACTGCGCCTCTTGTTTCCTCATAGATTTTGACCTCGGCTTTGGGATGCCTCACTATATAACCGCTGTCCGTCATTGGTGCGACGTGCACTATTAGCATGTCAGGAATTCACCTCGTCTGCTTTGTCAGTTATTTTCCTGGAATTCGTAATAATTTCGATATATATAAAACACTCACGCCTGTCACCCAGAGGGGTAGGCAGAGCCCCATTCACTCTATTCCCTGCATTTACTCGTCGTTCTATATCCCTATCATATCTACCATCCCTGCTAAATATAAATCCCAAATACACAAACTCATCCACTTGCTCAATTAACTCTCCTTTTATTCTTATTTCACATACCGTTTTGCTTTCTTCTCTTTCAAAAACCATCACTTTCGTCTTACTGGCGTTCACTTTCATTCCCCCTTCTTTTAATTCCCAGTTCATTAATGTAACCATCATTTGCTACTCAGCCGCCGATGACGCAAATATGACTTGATCATCGGCATACAAAAGGCATTTGACGTTTAACTCGCCCATTCTTAACCCACATTCTTCATCTTTCAAAGTTTGCAAACACCTGTCCATAAATAGGTTGAACAGCCAAAGGGAAGCTACACAGCCCTGTCTGACACCTTTTTGGATGCCAAACCAGTCCGAGTAGACTCCATTGATCCTGACACAAGCACTAGAGTCCCTATAAAGCGACCTTAATGCCTGTATCAAACCAGCGCTCAACCCATATGAGTTCAGTGTTTGCCATAACACATTCCTGTCCACTCTGCTATAAGCCTTTTCCAAGTCCATGAACGCACAAAAAACTTTCTGGTTTTTGGCCAAAAACTTCTCCGCAATCATGCGCATGGAAAAAACTTGATCTGTACACCCCATTCCCTTTCTAAAACCCGCTTGTACATCCCAAATTTTTCCATCAGTTTTTTGATAACTCTTTCAATTAACACTTTAGGATACAGTTTACCTACAATACTAAGCAAGCTGATACCACGGTAGTTTTTGCAGTCCTGCTGTGACCCTTTTCCTATATATATTGGTACTATAACTGCTTTACACCAGTCATCCGGTACCCGTTCTAATTCCCAACATAAATTAAACAAGGTGTACAGCAGGCCTGCCACCACTCCTTCTCCAGCCCTTAGCATCTCGAGTGATACTCTATCATATCCAGCTGCCTTACCTGCTTTCATGCTTTTCATTGCTTTCATTATTTTATCTACACTTATCTCCATACCCCTTTCCACTTCTTTCGGAATTTCTAGTTAATTTAATTCAGACGACTCTTCACTCATAAATACGCTTTCAAAGTGTTCCTTCCATCTGTTTAAATTCGAAACTTCATCATTCAGAATACATCCATTCTCGTCTCTTATAGCATTCATTATAGGCTGTTTTGTATTTCCCCTGGCAGTTCCTAAAAGTTTCCAGAACATTTTTATGTTAGCCTGGAAATTATCAGATATCCTTCTATCGTTCTTATCGGTTCTTTCTTTCTTTTTCCTTTCAACAACTTCTTTTACTCTTTTATTCAGACGTCTAAATTTTGCCTTTTTTCTTTCAATCTCATCATTCATACCAGAAGAATTATCAGCTTTGGTTGCTAGTAAATCAACCATGCTTTCTTCTTTGATTCAACTTCCACCCGTACCTCATCATCCCACCACAACGTATTACTTTTCCTTCCATTTGTTTTCTTACTTACACCACATACTTCGGTGGCGGCATCCACCAAACCTTTCTGAATATTATCCCAAACGGTATTCAAGTCTAAATCATTCATACACAACTCATTCAAACATCTATTTCCTCTCAGTCTACATTTATACTTCTCTTTCACATCTTCATCTTGTAACTTCTCTATTCTTTTACGCTGTAACGCAGTGGTAGACACAGATGTCCGATGCTGCCAACGCTTGAAAAGACCATTAATTCGACATAAGACCAAGTAATGATCCGTCCCTACGTTGGATTCCCGGTAAACCCTTGTATCTACGACTGCGCTCCTCATTCTTTCATCCACAATTACGAAAGCTATCATGCTTCTATCATCACCTCTTTCCCATGTATACATGTGAATCTTCTTATGACGAAAAAAAGTATTCGTCACAAAAAGATTCTTTTCCACACATACGGTGAGGTTTTCACTATTCTCATTTATACTTTCATCACCAAACGTTCCCAATATCTTTTCATAACCAGACTTCTTCACCCCAACCCTTCCATTAAAGTCTCCTAACATAATAATATTTTCATTTTCCTTACATTTTGTCAACACCATCCTTACCATGTCCCAAAACTGCTCTCGGATGTAAGTGGGCTTAGACATGTCTGGGGCGTACACCCCTAGCAGGAACAGCTTTTTTAAGCCCACTTTCATTCGTATCCATAGCAGCCTCGGGCTTACACATTCATACTCTTTCACACATTGACCCATTCTTTCTGAAAGGATGAAACCGACTCCCTGGCATGCCCGTTCGGTCTCGTCTACACCAGACCAACACGCGGTATACGTGCCATGTGCAGTGGCATCCCTTCCCTTTCGTTTCGTCTCACTCACACATAACAAATCTATTCCTCTGTTATTCATCATTTCAGCCCACTTTTATTCCTACAACAGGACCGTCGGCACATAACTAAGGCTTTTTATCTTGCCCTTTATCTTGCTATTTGTATATGCTTACATCAGTAAATCTGCTGATCATTCTAAGCCTTTTATCATCCTTGTTAGTATTTTTTGCAGTACCTTTTAAAACTAATATTTCTAACCATATTGTAACAAAAAGAATTAAATAACTAACGTGTGATATATTGTTGGAAAGGTATTTAAAAATGAATAAGGGTTTACAAAAATCATTTTTTGAGAATGTCAATAATTTCAGAAATAATCGCTCCAAAAGTAAAAAAACAATGTGTCTCCCCTCCCCCTCTAACTTTTGAACCATAAGCTTAGAAAATATGAAAAAAAATCTGAAAAGTAGAACTTTATAAGGACTTTCTAGGAAAATCATTTTTAACTTGGAAACAACAGTACCCACTACCGGGAGCAGTTGCGGGAGCGCGGAGCGCTACTGGATCGCGAACATAATGGAACATTAATTTTTATTAAAAGTTAGGCGAACATAATGGAACATTAATTTTTATTAAAAGGCGAAAGAGGTATGTCAGAAGAATTACCAGCTTTGGTTGCTAGTAAATCAACCATGCTTTCTTCTTTGATTCAACTTCCACCCGTACCTCATCATCCCACCACAACGTATTACTTTTAATTTCATTTGTTTTCTTACTTACACCACATACTTCGGTGGCGGCATCCACCAAACCTTTCTTAATATTATCCCAATCAGTATTCAAGTCTAAATCATTCATACACGACTCATTCAAACATCTATTTCCTCTCAGTCTACATTTATACTTCTCTTTCACATCTTCATCTTGTAACTTCTCTATTCTTATACGCTGTAACGCAGTGGTAGACACAGATATCCGATGCCGCCAACGCTTGAAAAGACCATTAATTCGACATAAGACCAAGTAATGATCCGTCCCTACGTTGGATTCCCGGTAAACCCTTGTATCTACGACTGTGCTCCTCATTCTTTCATCCACAATTACGAAAGCTATCATGCTTCTATCATCACTTCTTTCCCATGTATACATGTGAATCTTCTTATGACGAAAAAAAGTATTCGTCACAAAAAGATTCTTTTCCACACATACGGTGAGGTTTTCACTATTCTCATTTATACTTTCATCACCAAACGTTCCCAATATCCTTTCATAACCAGACCTCTTCACCCCAACCCTTCCATTAAAGTCTCCTAACATAATAATATTTTCATTTTCCTTACATTTTGTCAACACCATCCTTGCCATGTCCCAAAACTGCTCTCGGATATAAGTGGGCTTAGACATGTCTGGGGCGTACACCCCTAGCAGGAACAGCTTTTTTAAGCCCACTTTCATTCGTATCCATAGCAGCCTCGGGCTTACACATTCATACTCTTTCACACATTGACCCATTCTTTCTGAAAGGATGAAACCGACTCCCTGGCATGCCCGTTCGATCTCTTCTACACCAGACCAACACGCGGTATACGTGCCATGTGCAGTGGCATCCTTTCCCTTTCGTTTCGTCTCACTCACATATAACACATCTATTTCTTTGTTATTCATCATTTCGCATACTTCATCCATCTTATCATTCATTCCTCCACATACATTCAGCGTAGCCAGACGGGTTTCCGCAATCCACTTTTCGCCCCTCCGGGAGACAGAATGTGACGGGTCGCGAACCTCGTCGCCGGAATTATATAATTTCGATATATATATATTAATAAAAATTAATATTACATTTTTTGATTTTATATAGAAATTATTTATAAAATGAAAGGTAATTTAATTTAGAATACAGTTTTATTAATTTTGAATATCATCAATCGCAGCACGCACTACACTCATATCTATTTCTGACGCTGCTTTAGCCAAAAATACTCGGAGAGATTCCAAATTCTAATGAGGTTTAAAGCAGACTTTCTCCTACAAATGTTGCCATATCTTATAATCCAGTGGGCTTAAATCTGGACTAAGAGAGGGCCAGTCTTCATGTCCGATAAAGTAAATTACATTACATGGCGGTCAACCAGTTTTGCGTGCTTCGCACCCTATGAGCAGCTATGGCGCAGAGTACTGTTGGAATATCCAATGTCTGTTTTTGAACATTGTTTGAGAAAGAGGTTCCACTATGTTCGTTAGGAGGGTCTTTTGGTACACCTCGGCCCTGGTTTTTACACCTTTTCCACGGAAAAACTCTTCAATTAAACCTGAATATAAGATTCCAAGCCAAACCATGAGTGGCGAAGGATAATGTACTCGTTGAAACCTCGGAATACGCGTGCTGGCTTCTTCACTGCTGTGGGCATACACCTTATCTTTTGGTTTATTATAA